AAATATTTATTGAGTACCTATGATGTGCCAGGTACGGTTCTAATATCACTGTACTCACAGAGCATACTTACTAGTGGGAGAGAGAAATGAACAAAATAAATGCATAAATTTTATTGTACATTGGAAGGTGATTAATGCTGTGAAGGGGAAAAGAGCAAGGGGCAGTGATATGGAATACTAGTGTAGGTAGTGGCTGCAACTTTAAATAGCATGATCAGGGAAGACCTCACTCAGAAGGCAATATTTGTTCAAAGACCTGAAGGCATCTCACCTCATCAGGAAGTGAGGCTAGGATGGTGGAAATGTTATGTAAGTGGATATTTAAGTCACCAATACTTAAGACAGTAGTTAATGGTAGAAATATCAGTAGAGAACAAAGAACTATTCTTAGAGAAGTTGGGATGGGAGGTCTGACCCAGGAATTGGTAGATGGTTGCAACAAGGAGGGTAATTGGTGGTATAGTGTGAAAGACATGAGGTTTATTTTTAAAAGCTGGAAGGAAGGGGGCAGGCCCGGTGATATAAGGGGATTGAGAGGAAAAAAATATAGGCACAAATTGAGAAGACTATAAGGGAATCTGTCATCAAGGGAGATCCAGATTTCAGTTAAACTAAGAAAAATTGCGGAGAATATTAAAAGAGGCTTATGAAATAGGGGATGTTGTACTGTGTGTTCCAGAAGACCATATGGGAGGGTTACATGAGTTGGTAAGGGGTAGGAAATGGAAACAAAATAGAAGACCAGATGGTAATTATTAGGTGATAAGGAAGGACTTGGAAATCTGAGGCTCCTGTATTTTGACACATAGAGATAAAAGTATAATGAATTTAGTTCTGGTAGTCTCAAGACAGATAACGGTGGTGAGGCTGCGTTTGGGGTTGAGTGTGGGAAACAATAGAAGTATGAAGGTCCTGTAGATGAGTGTTCTTACTCCAGAATGAGCTGAGCTTACTCTTGACTCCTGTGAGAGGAGAGGAGTCATGCTCCATGATCTTGTGAAACAGACATGGCCATATAGTACTGGAATGTTTCACCATGGTAACTTCATAGAAAATGTATCCATTAATATTAAAAGATATCTGTTGGTTTTGTGTCCTAGTTTTGGAGAATACATACCTCTATATTTTTATTCTCCAGAGGTAAATACTTATACAATTTCAAAGTAGGGGGTCCATCACCTTTAAATTTTTTCACTTTCCTATAGATTATCATTGTTCCTGAGAGTTTTTATAAAATATTTATTATGGCTGCAATGGAAAAAATATCTCACATGCGTTTCCATAGTAAAACAATGGGAAATTAAATCACTGAAGCAATTCAGAATGGGTCCTACCCAAACTTTTTCTGTTAATCAAAGTTTCCTAATGTTATGTTTCAAATGGAAACTCATATAGTCTTAATTTCTTTGCTAAAAATCAAGTATATTGGAGGTAGTTGCTGTATTTCTGTCAAATGAAAATATTTTTACAATATCTAGAACCTGTAAAGTAAGACTATCTTCCAAAGTGACAGGCCAAATTTTTCTGTATATCTTAAGCTTCACTAAAATTTCAGTAGGTAGCATAGACTGGTCAAGTTATGTATATAAGGTATGTATCACTTATTCTTTTGTTCTGGCATTCAGGAAATGACAGTTCAGGAGGAAGCCTAAAATGGTTGATCTCCAACGAACACTTGCTGTTTGGCCTTCTCATTTCAATTTTCAAACAACTTAAAATATGATCAAAGACACTCATCAGAGGACCTGAGGAGCCTGTATTAATCACTTATAGATTTTAAGAACCACCTTGTCATATAAATTTTGCATAAGAACAAGACAATAAAGAGGAAATTTAAAACTCAAAATGACAATCTCACATTAATGACCCCACCCCAAAGGTTTTGGCATATTAAGCCAGCTCTTTTACAACACATAGAAGAGAATAAATGAATGACAATGAAAAATAATTTGTAAGTAATTTGACCTACATTTACCCATTTCTAGGAAAGCCCCAAAGTGAATTCCTATAGAGACTAAAGGAGTAGTTTCAACTACTTGCCCGAAGACAGGCTGAACATGGGAAAAAGGGATCTCACAAACTTTAAATTAGTGGACTCTTTTCCTGTTACTTTTTATTCATAAGGCCGGAAGGCAGAAGTGTAAATTGAAGTTAGTGTTGGGTATGGTGGTAGCCAGGCTTTGAGATGGTCCGCAATGATTCTCACCTCCTGATATTCATCCCTTTGTGTAGTCCCCTCTCACATCGAATGGGGCTGACCTGTATAACCAATAGGATATTACAGAAATGAAAGTGTATAATTTCTGAGGCTACATTTTTTAAAAAGGCATGGTTTCTGTCTCACACTTTTGGATCATTCACTCTGGGGAGAAGACAGCTGTTGTGTCGTAAGGACACTCAGGGCCCTAAGTCCTATGGAGAAGTCCATGTGGTGAAGAACAGATGTTGCAGGAAGGGGGACCCCTTCCAGGGCCCGAGAGTGGGCTCTCGTCTAACACTCAGAAATGAATTGTCCAAGGAGACACACGTGCTGACAAAGCAAGAGACTTTATTGAGGAGGGGCACCTGGGTGGTGAGCAGCAGGGTAAGGGAACCCAGGAGAACTGCTCTGCCACATGGCTCTCAGCCTCAGGTTTTATGGTAGTGGGGTTAGTTTCCGGGTTGTCTCTGGCCAGTCACTCTGACTCAGGGTCCTTCTTGCTGGTGTGCGCATGGCTCAGCCAAGATGGATTCCAGTGAGGAGGATTCTGGGAGGTTGGTAGGACATATGGACTGACGTCTCCTTTTAACCTTTCCCGAATTCTTTGGTTGGTAGTAGCTTGTTAGTTCCGCATTCCTTACCAGGACCTCCTGTTGTAAGATAACTCATGCAAGTGGTTACTGTCGGGCCTGGCCAGGGTGGGTGGTTTTGGTCAGTGGTTCCCCTAACACTGAGCCCTCTTGCCAACAGCCATGTGAGTGAGCCACCTTGGATGCAAATTCTCTAGCCCCAGTAAAGCCTTCAGATGTCTGCACCTCAACCAGTATTTTAACCACAACCTCATGATAGACCCTAACTAAGCCAGAACTACCTAGTTAAGCCACTCCTGAATTCCTAACCTATGAAAAATGTGTAAGATAATAAAAGTTTATTGTTGTTTTGAGCCATTAAATTAAGGAGGGAGGAAGTATAATTGGTTTTCATTATACAACAATAGATAACTAATAAGCAATAATATGTGACAGAACCAGAATTCAAGCCCAAGTTTGACTCCAAAGGTCGAGCTCCCAAAAGGTTGAAAGTTTCCCAATGACATTTTTAGCAATTTTCATTAGTTTACCTATTAAAATAATTTTTCTTTGAAATGAATTCAGTTTGCCTCCTATGTAAAGAGAGGAACATCAATCCCTTTGTTTGGTCAGTGACATACTGTATTTACTAATACTGGACAAGTTAGGTCTTGGGTACAGTCAGTTCGAAGTCAATAATAACAATGTCTATTTTCCAGGTATTCAATAAAAGTATTTCTGAAGAAGTCTGATTCATGTTTCAGGAGGAGTTTCTCTGTTGACTCTTCATTGAATCTTCTACCTTATGAGATATTAATGTGTATCATTAAGGAACTTAATTTGTTCCTTCTCCTGTCCCTCCTCTGAAACCATTTTAGTACACAATTTTAATTTCCTCAAGAGGAAAAATTAATGAGTTGTTTCTGAATTACCCTTAACTAGAGTTGCAAACAATTTTAAGAACCACTTTGAAGTTCTACCCAAAAGTTGTATCTAAATTTCACTTGTCATAATTTTTTTTTTCCTTACTCAAATGTCATTTCAACCCTGGGGAAATAATTTTTTACCTTGAAAGAGATAAACATTTCAAACTAAAGAAGCAAATATTTGTACTTCTTAGTCCAGGTGAAATGAGTCATCCTGCAACTAAAGAACATCTCAACCTGACTATCAGATCTGAATGTTATTGAAGTAAGAATAGGTCTTTCTTGTCCAGTAGACTGCTCATTTAATTTGAGGTAGAGCCCCTATAACTACCTCTTTGAGAAATGTTGTTCTATTTCTCTCATTCAAAGCATCTCTAATTAAGAAGATATGAATTTTCAAAATATAAATTAGGAGGTAATTCTTTGTTTAATGAAAATATTAACTAAAGGATATATTTAGATAGTAGGACCTGTAGAGCTCTTTTTACAAATGTTTGTTTATATACAGTTCAATAAAGTAAAATATAACTCACAGACATGTATTTATTCACATACTTTATATCACAAAAACACTATTGCCTATTTTAAGCTTCTTATAAGGAATTCTAATTTTTCCCACTACTTATTTGATATGTATTTCCTTTATAACCTGTTGCTTTTATGCTTGCTATTCCAGCTCTGAACTCACCAGATATCCAAGATTTCAAGTCTTCTAGCTCATAATTGAGATGAGACAGTTTTAAGTGAAATCTTACTAAATCAATAAATAGTCCCATTTTTGTGTAGGGGTCATATTGTTATTTCTCTTTTGTTCTGTTAACAACTTTTCTGGACCCCTACATTTCTCCAGGAAATGTGTATGGGAGTTTATACCAGGAGACTATAACATGGCATCACCAACCCACACCCAACATGAGAACTAACCACTTTTTATACAAAGTACCCAGTGATATAAAAGTAGTTGAAGGTCCCCAACTCTAGCAGGTGCACTAGTATGCACCTTCAAGCAGTGAATGTACAGGCATGTAACCAAAGTGTTTCTATAATAGTTTTGGAGGCAGACAGACCTTAGTCAAATTACAGACAGTTGCCTTGGGTCACTCACTAAACTTTTCTGTATCTTGGTTTCTCCATCTGTAAAATGGGGGTAATAATCACTGCTTCTCAAGATTGTTACGAGGAAAGAGCATAGTCTGGCACATAGTCGGCATTAAATAAGTATTACTTCTCATTCCCCTGTATTTTACTGCACTCTTCAAATTAACTGTTCCTCAAGACAGCAGTATTTTTCATTTTCTCTTTCAGATTAAAATTAAACTGCCAAATACGAACACTTCTGAAATTGAAATCAACATTCAGGAAATGACCCTTGACCTCCGTACTCCTAATAAGTGAGTAAAACTTAGAACTAGAATAATGAATATTATAATATTAATGAACCTTTAGTCAATATCCTTTATAAAAGTGTACGTACTTATTTTGTATCACTCCTAAAGTCTGAAGAAAAGTGAAAAAGTCAGTCATTCAGATGTTTGATCTAGGTAATATAAACATATATTTGTAAATACCTAGATTTTTTCCTACTTTACATGCATACATTTGGATTAGGTTGATACCACCAAGACATAGTCCTTGACATTCAGATACAGTTTGCTTATCTGTCAGGAAAAATAGCTAGAGGTGAAAATCTCTTAAGATGTAAGTCTTGCATGTGGCTTTCTGGTACAGTGATGGCATGAAAGAAGCAATCTTTAAGCATATTGGATACTGTGGGGCTCTAAGGTTAAATTTGATTATATTCATCTAAAAATCAACAAAAAGTCTTATCAATTGCTTAAAACAAAAGTTCTAACAGCTAATTTATCACTAGATCCTCAAGTTGCATGAATACATTTAAAAATAATGCAGATGATAATGGAATAATTCAACTAAACATTTGGTATTTTCAAAATAGCCTTGTTATTATACAAGTTCAAATCATGTTCCCCGAACACAATGTATACGGTAAAATTCTGATAAAAATGTTTATCTTGAAACCTGGATAAATCAGCCCTGTCTCTCAAAACTAACTCTATAAGGAGGGAATCTATAGAACCTGGCAGGTGCTAGATAAAATGTCTAAATATCTCACTGCTTTGTTCACTTTTCATCTGGATGTATAGCAGTGAGCACACTTTGGTTGAGTGCAGTGATTCTTTGTAACTCATAGACATTTCAAACTGGGTGCGGGGAGCAGTCAGCTCCTAGCACATTCTCTTCCTTCCATTATCAGTACCTACAATTGTCCTTTGTTGATTGTAGGGCTTCAAGAAAATAACAAAATTAAATCTCTGGTACAAAAGACTTCTGTGTGTAAACAACCCAACATAACATGCATAGCTTAACCTTGATTTCTACAGTAGATGCATTTAACCCCAAATGATCTACAGATGAATACATATCAAATATTTTCTCATTACTTAATATAATTTCAAAAATGTATTCACTCAAAAAATGTCTCATATTATAAAAATTACATTCCCTATTCCTACCATTCACTTCAAGGAGTATTGTAATTTTTTTCCCATTACATGTTATACACGCATTTACTCTTCCACACAAACTTTGCAAGGAAAGTTGGTTAAATGAACAGTCAAATTTTTCATGATATTTGTGCACTTGTTAAAAGCACACACATATCTACACACTACGGAGTTAATTTCCGTTCCCCTAGCAGTTCTCACTGTCTCCATCCATCTTTAGGCAGCTGCTCTGGCTATGCTGTCATTCCAGATATTTATCAGAGCTCACTAAATGAAAGACTCACACAGAGATATTTTTCCACATAGAATGTAGGCTGCACTAGGTCATTTGGATCTTACAGTATTTATACATTAAATGCTCAGTGCATGAAGGTACTGTCTCTTAAGAAAAAGATTCATTAATTAAGATAGAAGACAGAAGATAGAATTAAAGTTTTTATCACTTTTCCTAAACACTTGAACATGCTTTGGAGCCATGCTATTACCTGAAATTGTATTATTGGAAATGTGTCTTGTTTTTTAAGTTTATTGATATTCACATTTACTTTCTTTAGTTTCTAACTTTGACACCTGTAACACTATGCTTACCGGCTCCAAGAAAGATAAGAGTGGACATTCTGCTAATGTATCTATAAGGCAAAACAAGTGAATTTATTTTAACTGAATTGACTAGTAATATCAGTCTATTGATAGTCAACTGCATTAAAATTATAAATAAAACAGAATTTTAGCATTGTAGATCGAAAAGAAATAAAACAGTTTGCTGAATTCTTCATTTTTTACAACGTTGTTTTGGTATGTAGATTCCCAACATGGAGTAGATAGAAAGCAAGAAAGATACGGGAAATTGTATAATGTCTCAGAATCTCCTGACTTTATCTTCATATGGGGTTTCATTAGTTTTTAAGATGAATTCTAAGAATATCATAAATGAATTCCTTGAATGTGATAATAAAAACACACTCTGAAGACAAATATGAGTTAATTTTTGGTTGTGTGTTGCTTTACATTATCTCACCTTTGCGGTGCTCCTTTGATTTATTGCATTGGCCAAAAAGATATTTCGGGTTTTTCCATATGTCTTCCAAGAAAACTCGAACGAAATTTTTGGCCAACCCAATAGATTGAGAGTTGGCTGATATTCAAAGACGTAAACACCTAAAAAAATGTTTTCTAAATGGAATAGTGAACTGCAGCTCAGTAGCTATTTCTGCACTTTCTTTGAAAATAGTTATGTCTCCAATAGGAAACATTAAAAAGGCCATGTCCTTTTTTTATCCCAGATATGTAAATCAAATAATTTATTAACTACATAAAATAAAAAGTGCATTATGTGAATATGTACAGAACAAGGTTGTCCTTTATTTAAATCTCTTGCAAGAAACATCAACTTGGGGCTTCCCTGGTGGCGCAGTGGTTGAGAGTCCGCCTGCCGATGCAGGGGACACGGGTTTGTGCCCCGGTCCGGGAAGATCCCACATGCAGTGGAGCGGCTGGGCCCGTGAGCCATGGCTGCTGAGCCTGCGCGTCCAGAGCCTGTGCTCCGCACATGCAGTGGAGCGGCTGGGCCCGTGAGCCACGGCTGCTGAGCCTGCGCGTCCAGAGCCTGTGCTCCGCGGCGGGAGAGGCCACAACAGTGAGAAGCCCGCGTACCGAAAAAAAAAAAAAAAAAGAAACATCAACTTGAATTCTCTAATATAAATGTAAACATGTGAGTCTATAGAGTTCACTGTACAGATAATTTTGGGGTTTTACTTTCATATATTATTGTTTGCATTTAAATAATTTCTAATGAAAATTAACACTGGATAAACATTTGATCAGTGACTAAACTGTAGCTTCTTAAAAGGCAAATATATTTTCAAAGTAGAGGCAGAGGGATTGGGTTTAAATGTTCATTCATATTTTATTATAGTACTAATTTATACCAGTTATTCAAATATCATTTTGTGGTGACCTGTTTGCTTTTCATTTGTTTATTCATTCAGTCAACAAACATTTATGTCTGCTAGACACTGGGGGGACACCGAAATAAAATACAGTCCTGTTCTTCAATGAATTGTATATGATTAAGTATTAGTAGAATTTTTTATTGTTTAAAATATAACTCTCACTTCAGATATCACACAGTATTTTCCTTCTTCTAAGAGCCTAAATAAGTTGCACAGTTTCTACTCAAAATTTTAGTATGGGAAGCTGTACTACTAAGGACTAGACAAAAATGCAGGGATAGATGTACCATTCCAATGGCCACTGTCTCTTTTGAATTTATTTCTCTCTGGATAGAGGAGTGCACATTATCATTGGAACTCCTTCTTCAACTGATTTTAGGTGTCTTTTAGTGCAATGAAGCTACCACCACTGAGCTTTGCTTTCTTTTAAAAGTGAATATACTATCATTTGTAGAATAAGGGATAAAGCAAATCTAACTCTAGTACAACCTATATTGTAAACAACTTTAAAAAGATGGACTCTCGGGAATTCCCTGGTGGTCCAGTGGTTAGGACTTGGTGCTTTTACTGCCGTGGGCCCAGGTTCGATCCTTGGTCAGAGAACTAAGATCCTGCAAGCTGTGCAGCATGGCCAGAAAAAAAAAAAGACTCAATGGTTTTTGCACCCATTTTTTTTGAGATGCCAAATATTACAGGGTATATTAAGAAACATCGCGATTTCATTACTTCAAGTGGAGAGAGTTGTTTCTCCTACCCCAAATATCTGGAATGGAACAAGAGTAACAGAAAATTCCTCCTATAGGTTCCAGAGATGTGTGATAAATACTTTTAATGAGCCCAGTTTCCTGAACTTAGGTCTTTGCAAATGAGCAAAGAAGCAATTGATTTTCAAGGGCTTTGTTTTCAAATACTAGTTCTTTGTACAAGTATTCAATAAGTACCCCTAAAAATTACCACATTTCCTATACTGATTTGGACCTTATACCTTCTAACAGAGCTTTTCTGCCCACTTTTTATAGAGATACTCAAGCCTTCTCTACTGAGAATGTGAGGTAACAAGTGTTTCATGTATTTAATTTTCTTCAGATACCAGCATGTGCCGACCCTATGCATAATTCAGATTCATACCACTATGACAGAATTATGGATCTCTCATCCCAACCATGCATCTTAAGCATACAATTATCCAGCAGCTGAGCCATAAACTGCAAACTACACTCAGCAATCTCTCACAGGAAATTTTTGCCAATGTATAGTAGAAAGAACAGAAGCAGGCAGAGAAAAGCACTTTCATTGATCTGGTATTGAAATCATTCCAGGCCTGAATTTCAATAACTACACCTAGTGTAGTAGTAGAGACTCAGTTGTGTTAGCAGAATTATTTAGAACCATTCCAATTTTCAGGTTTCTATCAGGCAGCCACATTCCATCTACACATAAGTATGACCGGCAATAGATCTATCCAGCCAACTTAAAGTTGCAATGGTTCTATTTCTATGCCAATAAACATAGCCTGAGACTATGTGTATATAATGCAAAATGAGGTCAATTTAGAAAAAAAGAGGGGTGGTCAAAACCACTGGTTGGATTTTTAAGGCCAAAATAATGGTATACTAAATAGTTTTTTGGTTCCTAACATTGTGGTGATATATATTGCTTCCCATTGTCTTGATATCACTGATTCTAGGTTTTTATTTTGTTTTGTTTTTTAGGAAGCTGCTGTTAACCCTTCCCTATCCTGTGGAATGCAACAATGCCAAAGCTTTCTATATTGCTGAAACTGAGACTCTCGAGGTCACCATGACTATGAAACGAGAGTTGGATTTTATTAATTTCTTCTGAAACAACATGAATAAGGAGGAAAAGTGGTAAAATACCACTGATAAAAAATTTAAAAAACTTTGAAAAAATTGGTTAATGTTTTCTATCTTCTCTTTATTATTCTGACATATTTCAGGCAGGGCCTAAATTCAATTCTAATGCTATTCTCATCATTTACAGTCATTTCTATTAATCTAGTAGGAAATGCTGTTTTCTCATACTAATAAGCTATTCCATTTTTATAGTGATAGCTGGATAGAATTTACAGGCTAACCAATTAGATTACTACATGGTCAGCTAAATAACTGAAATATGACCATGAAATCGTTGGTCCACTTATTTCAGTAGTTTGAAGAACTTAAGCCAATTGATTATACCATGATACAATCAGGTGCATAGCAATTGGTCATTACCATCACCAGAAAAGTTTATTTAGTTTCCTTTTTGTTGATTTAATCAAATGATTTCGAGTGTTCTCTGTTTAGGCTCTCACTATTGTTCTGGAATATACAAATAACAGAGGATTATAAATAGTTTGATGTGCCATACTAACAACATGTTTACTTGAATAAGAAATACTCTTGAGCACACAGTGTTATTTGGCTTCCTCGGTCCTGTTCTCAGTGTTTGGATCTATTTAAGTTAAAAATATTTTCCTTTTGTGCACTAATAGTTATTAACAATGCCTTTATGAGTACTGTGTTTATATTAATTGAATTTCTTGACATTTAAAAGGAATATAAAGAAAAGTGTGGCGCATTTACAAATCCTGTTCTCTCTCATTTCGTATATCGTAATTGGACATACTTACGTTATGAATTTGTACACTGCCTCTTCTGTACTGTATTGCATAAGTTTACTTTAGAATTATTTATGAATAACTTGACTTGGTCTCACACATCATTGTAGAACTCTGGAGTTACCTGGGAGTAAAGTTTGAAAAGAGATAAACAGTGGAAAGATGTGAACAATTAAGAGACTAAATACTCAAGCAGATATTGTCTAGGTTTAATTATGCAGATAACTATGAAGCATCTAGCTTATGACTAGATCAAATAGAAGGAAAAGACTGAGATTTTGGAAAAAGTGGTTATGTTAAAACACCAAGCTCTTGTAGAGAATTTGACTTTGAAATTACCACCATGACTTTCTTCTGAGGGTAGGATTAACTGAAAAGAAGTTAGTGTCTGTGAATTTAAGTCCATGGTGTCACAGAATTAAGAGTGTCCTACTTTGCTTTCTTAACATCTTTTTAAAAGGCTGTATTTTAAGAATTTAAGACTATACCCTAAACTTTAAACTCTGGAGTAAGCCTAAGCAGTAGCCAATATTTTTCTTCTCTAGAGAGCAACAGTGAGTCAGTGGAAAACGTATCTCTTCTTTCTATGTAGTGGCCCTAATTACAAAGACCATTATTACTCAAGCTGACTGCATGTGTACAAGTTGTCCCTGGAAGAGAAGATAGAGCATATCCAGGGCAACTTGAATTGGGCTTTGGTTATGTTGTACTGTATCAATTATATAATGAAACAGAGCTTCAGGACAATGAAATGTGATCCAGTAATTTATACCCATCTTCAAATCATCCTACTTCACTGTCCTTGGCCTCAGAAGTAACAACTTTGTTATCGTTGCTGTTTTGTTTTTTTAAGCTAATTCACAGGACTTTTCTCTCTTTAAAGGGGAATAGTCCATTAAAGCAAATGTAGAAAAAGAGAATACAAAAGGAAGTTAAAACCACGATTGTGGCATATTATTAGCCTTCTCCTTCATGAACTTCTTCACCTCCCTTTTTGGTTTTATAATCTCTAGTTGCGTTTCTGAAGATTCAGTCATTCATTCATGCACTCATTAATGCATTCTTTCAACAAATATCCACTGAGCATTTACCACATGCCTGGCACTATGTTATGTGCTGGGCATATAGCAATGAGCAAACCGGATGTGGTCCTTGTGCTCATGGAGCAAGTAGTTTAGCAAGGGAGACCAACAATAACCAAGTAAACACATAAACACATATTTTCAAGTTTATTATTAGTATGAAGGAGAACAATGTGTGCTTTCAGAACATCAGAGAAACCAAACCTAGTCTGGGGAAGGAGGTCAGAAAAGGCTCCCCTAAGGATTTCATACTCAGCTGAAACATGGAGAATAACTAGGATTTAGCCATGCAAAGAGAGTGTTGAGGGAAGGAGGGTGGTAGGGCTTCTAAGTGCAAGGAGTAGCAAATGTGAAGACCCAGGATGGAAAGAACCTGGAGCGTAGAGTTCAAGGAAATTAAAGCCTGTGTGGTTGAAGTAGAATGAATCTGGCAAGTGTGACTGGAGGTAAGGTTGGAAATGTAGGCTGGAGCAATGTCATGTAGAACCTTACAGGCTAAGGTTAGGAACTTGAATTTTATTCTAAGTTCTTTGGAGAAGAGGATGTATCTGGAGGCAAGAATGAAAATGAGGAGACCACTTAGGAGGCTATTGCAATAGCCTAGGCAAGTTATTATTCTACACTTCATCCTAAGTAAAATTCATTTGATTTTTTTCTAATTAGAACAAAAGTACATGCTTACATGATCCAAGTAGGAAACTTTAACAATACAGAAAAGCTCTTTAAAAATAAAGCACCCACCTCCTAGAGAAATGGAAATAAAAACAAAAAGAAACAAATGGGACCTAATGAAACTTAAAGCTTTTGCACAGCAAAGGAAACCATAAACAAGACGAAAAGACAACCCTCAGAATGGGAGAAAATATTTGCAAATGAAGCAACTGACAAAGGACTAATCTCCAAAATTTACAAGCAGCTCATGCAGCTCAACATCAAAAAAAAACAACCCAATCCAAAAATGGGCAGAAGACTTAAATAGACATTTCTCCAAAGAAGATATATAGATTGCCAACAAACACATGAAAGAATGCTCAACATCATTAATCATTAGAGAAATGCAAATCAAAACTACAATGAGATATCATCTCACACTGGTCAGAATGGCCATCATCAAAAAATCTAGAAACATTAAATGCTGGAGAGGGTGTGGAGAAAAGGGAACCCTCTTGCACTGTTGGTGGGAATGTAAATTGATACAGCCACTATGGAGAACAATATGGAGGTTCCTTAAAAAACTAAAAATAGAACTACCATACGACCTAGCAATCCCACTACTGGGCATATACCCTGAGCAAACTATAATTCAAAAAGAGTCATGTACCAAAATGTTCATTGCAGCTCTATTTACAATAGCCAGGAAATGGAAGCAACCTAAGCGTCCATCAACAGATGAATGGATAAAGTAGATGTGGCACATATATACAATGGAATATTACTCAGCCATAAAAAGAAACGAAATTGAGTTATTTGTAGTGAGGTGGATGGACCTGGAGTCTGTCATATAGAGTGAAGTAAGTCAGAAAGAGAAAAACAAATATTGTATGCTAACACATATATATGGAATCTAAGAAAAAAAATGGTCATGAAGAACCTAGGGGCAAGACAGGAATAAAGACCCAGACACACTAGAGAATGGACTTGAGGATATGGGGAGGGGGAAGGGTAAGCTGTGACAAAGCGAGAGAGTGGCATGGACATATATACACTACCAAACGTAAAATAAATAGCTAGTGGGAAGCAGCTGCATAGCACAGGGAGATCACCTCGGTGCTTTGTGACCAGCTAGAGGGGTGGGATAGGGAGGGTGGGAGGGAGGGAGACGCAAGAGGGAAGAGATATGAGAACATATCTATATGTATAACTGATTCACTTTGTTATACGGCAGAAACTAACACACCATTGTAAAGCAATTATACTCCAATAAAGATGTTAAAAGAAAAGAAAAAACAGATTTAACTACAGGAAAAAAAATAAAGCAAAATTTAAAATCACCTGTAACCCAACAAACCATAAATAACCACTCTTAACCATTTTTAGTGCCTCTTTCCAACTTTTTCTTTCAATGCCTAAGACAGATACCAGTTTTCCCCCAAATATGATGATAACACACAAACTGGCTTTAAAACCTACTTTCTTTTAATTTCCAAGTATATTCTTTTTTATTATCTTTTTGTTTCTGGGAATTCTAATTGTATTGCATTGTGATAAAAAATGTGTGATAAATGAATGATGCATGTGTATTTTTAAAGAATGAGTATTCTGTAATTATTGGGCACAGAATTCTATCTATATATATCAACTCAAGTTTTTTTAATATTTTAATTTTATTGGAGTATAGTTTATTTACAATGTTGTGTTTCAGCTCATTTTTCTTTTTTAAACTGTGTTGTTCAGATCTTCTACATTCTTGTTAATTTTTGGCCTGCTTTCTGTATCAACATGAAGAGGTGTATTATCGATAACATTTACCAGTGATGATAGATTTGTTCATTATCTCCTTGTAATTCTGTCAATTTTTGCTTTATGTATTTTAAGGCAATATATTTAGCTGCAGACAGACTTAAAATTGTTCTGTCTTCCTGGTGGATTATTCCTTTTATCAATATTCTGTGACACTCTTTATCCCTAATAATGTTTTTTTGCTTTAAAGTATGTTTTACTTTACATTAACATAGCTACATCCACTTTGATTAGTATTTGCCTGGCATATCTTTTTCCATCACTTTCTGTGCTTTTATGTTTTAGGTATGACTTATGAACAGAATTTAGATAAATTTTGGATTTTTAAGTGCAACAAAGATTCTCACATGTTTTCATCCAGTTACATTTATTGTGATGAATGATACACTTGGATTTATTTATATCACCTTATATGGGATTTCTGTCTTATTCTGCTTTTTTCTAAGTTTTTTTTTCTCCTTTCTTGCCTTTTTTTTTCTATTAGTCAGTTTTCAAAATTCTCTTTTCCTCCTGCTGATTTGAAAGTTATATATACTTTTTTTTTTACTTCAAATGTCTAAAGTTTCTCAATAGTTCTACCCCCCTTAACATGATTCAAAGACATAGAAAGTTTTAGCTAAACTATACCTCTCCAACTTTGTTTTCATACTCCCAAATTATTCATCATCCTCATTATTGTT